TTCCACGTACGTACACCGTTTCCATTCCACAACTATAAAAGTTCTTCAACTAATGGCCTTAGGTACACATCAATGTCGTTGCCGGGCTGCTTAGGGCCTTGGATGAGAACTGGCATCATAATGAACTTTCGCTTCATGCACATCCAAGGAGGAAGGTTATACATACATAGAGTCACGGGCCAGGTCTGTGATTGCTGCTCTGCTCCCCGAAAGGATTAATGACATCCGCGCTTAAAGCAAACCTTACATTCCTTGGGTCCTTTGCAAATTCATCCCAGTACTTTCTTTCGATTTTTCTCCACCGCGACCCGTCAGCGGGTGCTCTCAACTTCCCGTCTTTCTTCCGGTCCTCACTGTGCCATCGCATCAACTTGGCATGCTCTTCGTTTCTGAACAAACATTTCAACCGTGGTATTATAGGAGCATACCACATCACCTTCGCAGGAACCCTCTTCCTGGGGGGCTCACCGTCAACATCACCAAGGTCATCTCGTCTGATCTTATACCGAAATGCACCACATACCGGGCATGCGTTCAGATCCTTGTATGCACCGCGGTAGAGGATGCAGTCATTAGGGCATGCATGTATCTTCTCCATCTCCAATCCTAGAGGGCATACGACCTTCTTTGCTGCGTATGTACTGTCGGGCAATTCGTTATCCTTTGGAATCTTCTTCTTCAATATTTTCAGTAGCTTCTCAAATCCTTTGTCAGCCACAGCATTCTCTGCCTTCCACTATAGCAATTCCAGTACGGTACCGAGCTTTGTGTTGCCATCTTCGCAATTGGGGTACAACCCTTTTTTGTGATCCTCTAACATGTGATCGAACTTCAGCTTCTCCTTTTGACTTTCGCATTGCGTCCTTGCATCGACAATGACCCGGCGGAGATCATCATCATCGTCACATCGTCTAGTTCCTCTTGATCTTCAGCAGCTTCACCCATTGCAGCATCATTGGGCACATCGTCTGGTTCCTCTTCATCTTCACCATCTCCCCCCGTTGCAGCATCACCGTATTCAGGGGGCACATAGTTGTCATTGTACTCTTCTTCGTCGTCGTCTTCCATCATAACCCCTATTTCTCCGTGCCTCGTCCAAACATTGTAGTGTGGCATGAAACCCTTGTAAAGCAGGTGGGAGTGAAGGATTTTCCGGTTAGAGTAAGACCTCATATTCCCACATTCAGTGCATGGACAACACATAAAACCATTCTGCTTGTTTGCCTCAACCGCATCGAGAAACTCATGCACGCCCTTAATGTACTCGGTGGTGTGTCTGTCACCGTACATCCATTGCCGGTTCATCTGCGTGCATTATATATAATTAAGTGTCCAAATTAATAGAAGTTCATCATCACATTAAAACCAAAGTGCATACATAGTTCTCATCTAACAACATATAGCTCTCCAGAGCATCTAATTAATTAAACCATACATTGAAACTATGTAAAACATTTCAATGCGAAAACAAATGCGATCATAATCGCAACCAAGGTAACAATTGATCCAACGGCATAATGATACCAAGCCTCGGTATGAATGGCATATTTTCTAATCTTTCTAATCTTCAAGCGCATTGCATCCATCTTGATCTTGTGATCATCGACGACATCCGCAACATGCAACTCCAATATCATTTTCTCCTCCTCAATTTTTTTTATTTTTTCCTTCAACAAATTGTTTTCTTCTTCAACTAAATTTAACCTCTCGACAATAGGGTCGGTTGGCATTTCCGATTCACATACATCCTACATAAATAAAATCTATGTCACGTTGGTCGGCATAATTTTCATAAACAATAAATGAACCAATAGTTATAAAGATAATATATATATACCACATCCGAATCATAGACAGGACGAGGGCCGACGGGGGCGGATACCAAAACCATCGCACTATATAATATGCAATAATAAAAGTAAGAAAATAATACAAGTATCTATGTAAACATACAAGTAAGAATATTTTTCCTTTCAGAAAGAAGATAAGAACAAGAGGCTCACCACGGTGGTGCCGGCGATGAGCTCGGCGCGGGTGATCGACGGCGGTGAAGACGGGGACGGGGCGTGACGGACCACTAAACCTAGACAAATATTAAGGAAAATGGAGCTTGGAGGTCGAGCTTGGAGAGGAGAAAGCTTAAGTAGTGTGGCTCGGGCGTTCCATCGAACACCTTGTGTGCATAGGAGGTGAGCTAGAGCACCACCAAGCCCTCTCCCCCTCGGCCAGAAAAAAACAGAGCAGTGTGCTCTGCTCTTACGTGAGGGGGTATATATAGGCACCTCATTGGTCCCGGTTGGTGGCATGAACCGGGACTAAAGGGGAGCCTTTGGTCCCGGTTCAAGCCACCAACCGGGACCAATGGTGGTGGGCCAGGAGCGAGGCCCATTGGTCCCGGTTCATCCCACCAACCGGGACCAAAAGGTCCAGATGAACCGGGACCAATGGCCCACGTGGCCCGGCCGGCCCCTGGTCTCACGAACCGGGTCCAATGCCCCCATTGGTCCCGGTTCTGGACTGAACCGGGACTAATGGGTTGACCCGGCCTGGACCAAAGCCCTGTTTTCTACTAGTGCCCCGGATGACTGGGGAGTTCCAAAAAAACAACCAATGTTCATCACTTCACATGAATTCAATCACTACCAAGAGAGGGAAAATGTGGGGGGAAAGGGGAGCAGCTACTGAATGGAGGGAGGAGGTCGCGGTGGGGCGGCCGGAGGCAGCGCTAGCGGCGGAGCGCGCGCCAGTGGAGGGGCAGTGGCCCTTGCTGGTCCGATGGTCCATGCATGTTCTTGAGGAAGGAGGAGGTCCGATGGGTAGTAGAGGAGAGAGGAGGTAGCAGCGGGGCGGCGGACGCGGGAGGCGGTGTCGGCGACTGGGCGCGCGACTGTGGAGGGGCGGCGCCGGCGGCGGCGCTGGGTAGGAACCCTAGCTGTCGCTCGGGTCGAAGGGGATCGAGCAGTTTTTTTTGCGAGGATGAGATCTCCTCTCGTGGCTGACCATCGCTCGGAGGAAATAGAACGAATCATTTTTTGACTTGCCAGTGGCAAAGGTGGGTAAATACAACGCAACGTCCAGGGGGCAGCTAAAAATGCATTGCTGAAGTTGGGGGTTCACCTGCTTCGAAAATTACACTTAGGGAATCTGTAGCTTTTGCGGCCTCTTTTGGTTCATAGGATAGGATTATCATAGGAATAGGAATCTTGTAGAAAATGAGATGACATGTATCTCAAATCCTATGAGTAGGAATAGGAAATGAAATATCATTTGGTTGACACCAAAGGAATTTTTCCATTGAGTCTAGACTCTTTTTTATTTTCCTATGAAATGTGAAGGATAGGAACCAATCCTATGTAAAAATAGGAATCCATTTCTATGAACCAAAGGGCTTTAAAGGAAAAAATTCTATAAGAATCCTATCCTCTAGAATTCCTATGAAATTCCTCTAAACCAAAGGAGGCCTTAGCTTCTTACGTTTCTCCCATTGGTTAGCTTATACAGTAGCTTTGAAAAGCCAAAGGCTGGGTCCAAAAGTCCAACCAAACACAGCCCTGAGCTGAGGGGGAATAAGGCGATGACTAAGTTTTCTCGGAGCTCTAGCTGTTTGAACTGGCATAACATATCTATGTGCCTTCGCCGAGCAACGGGTTCTATTTCTTCCCACTACCTTTACTTTTTGTACTTTCTTCTGTGTTGAAGAATTTTCCTTCATTCTTTGTGGCTGTTGCAAAGACTTGTGTGAGTATTTTCCATTATCCGTTGCCTAGCTTTATGATTAGCTTTCTACTCTATTTCTTCTACCTAGCGTGCTTCTGACTCTAGTTATTAGTTTTGCCTCGCATGCTTCTAAGTTTGTGACTGTTTAAGTTCAGTATTTGCATAGTTCTGTTCAATCTCATTTTTTTCGGATAGCGTGTTTTTCCGAAGAAATGGTCAAAAAGAAAAATCTCCCGTTCACGCCCCACCCCCTCTGGTCGATAACTTGATGCTACATAGCCTTTGGAGAGGTGTCTTTTTACAGCATTTCAGAAGAAAGGACAGAAAACATATACTCCCTCCACTGGTTGAAGCTATCAACTTGTGAATATTCACAGAACGTCAAGGCTAACATTTATATACCAAATTTTCAGTGAAACCTATGATATCCGCTGAACACATTTGAAAGCATCTCATCAGGCAGATTCAAAAGCTAAATCATGAATTCGGAGCAGCAAAACGTTCTTGCTGTCTATGTTTCTGACGCGTCCAGCTTTGGATGTATCCTTGAAAAATAAAACGGCCTTGCTCTTGCTGAAAGCATACAATTTGATGCAAGTGAAGAAAAGAAACATCAACAACAAAGTGAATAAACCATGCTGCCCATGAGCAATCATTTAGAAATGCTGGTAAACAACAGCTGCTTCATATGAACAACGGGCTTGACAATCAAAATTCTTCCATTTGTTGTTATTATACAAAAAAAAAATGCTTAGGGCCAGAGTGAAATTACATCAAAGGCCTTTAAAACTTTGTTATAAAATCTAGTCTCAAACTTCCCCTCGTCTACAGGTGTTCTCCAAGATATTCTCCCCTTGCCTCCAATGCGAAATTTCTGCTATGCCTATGCTCTATTCACACGGATGGTTTGTCCTTCCAATTCCTGAAATCACATTCAGTTGCAGAACAATAAAACACATGGGAAAATGTTTTAGATTATGGGTCATACAAGGCATACTGTGGGACAAAATTTCATGTTGATAACCCAAGAGCCATGCATGTCTACCAAATGGTTTACTGGGTACAAGAAAAGGTTGTTTGCTTGGGAGCGGTCTACCACTACACTTGAACAGATGTTGCTTACATTTTTTGAATAGCAAACTCAGGTGTGATAATTCACGTGATGAAATATCAAAGTAAATTTGACCAGTAGTCTAGGCATTAAAAAATATAATTTGGTCTGAATTTGATCTAGTTCATCTGAACATGCAAAGTTGGTCCTGGTTGTGTTTCAAACATTATTATTATTTCCATAGCTGTCGCATATCAAGTTTTGAAACCGTAGTCTGCTTTTTACTGTCAAGTGATGTAATGTGATTGGGAAACAACTGCACACTAGCAGGTGGCATTTTTGTGCAAAAGAAGCTTACTGCATTATTGAAAGTAGAAACCGCAGCTTCCACTTCTTCCTCTGAAGAAAACGTGACAAAACCATATCCCTTGGACTTTGGAGTTCCCGGAATTCGGGATACCGTGGCACTGAGGACCTCCCCTTTTTCAGAGAAGAAGTTCTTGAGCACTTCCGTTGTCACTTTCTTTGCAAGATTGCCAACATAAACCTTGTACTGGCTGTCCACAAATGAAGGTTCCGATTCCGGTGCAGATGTATCAATGTTTGGTAAGAAGCTCTCTGTCACATTCACTTTAATTTTTCTACCTCCAACCTCCTGGTACAATCAAAGCACAAACAAACGTCACTCATGCATCCACTGCGTGCATAAGCATGACCGGACAAACGACGGGATGAAGCTTACTGTGTCATTCAGGCTCTCAATGGCAGCAGCGACCTCCTCCGCCGTGCTCATCGTGACAAACCCGAATCGCCGGCTCCGACCACTATACTTGTCATACATAACCTGTGAAATTATCAGGCAAGCAATCATTTTAGTGAGATAAATACCGGCAAGCAATTCATCACCATAGCCATTTGCATGTTAAGTGGTTTCTATCTTGTAAAATTGGCAGGAAAACTATGATAGTTGATCCCTCCCTAGGGTTTGCATACATCAGGCTCTAGTTATTTGTGTAGTCCAATTCTAGACCGACATGATGCAGAGGCCGGAGGTTTCAATCTCCTTAATAAATAAATAAATAAATAAATAAATAACAAGAACAAGAACATGATAAGGACTAAATATTATACTGAGTATAGTGAGCAAACAACAGAATGTTTGGAGAAATCGTTATCGCGACCAGATGACGCATTCGATCTTGGAGTGGGTACTGGGCGCGCCGCCGATACCAGAGCAGCATTACATTGCACTAGTGCGTTACCTCGGCCCGCACGACGGTGCCGTGTGCGGCGAACATGGCCGACAGCTCGTCGTTGGTGACGGTCCTGGGGATGTTCCCCACGTAGAGCTTCCGCGTGGCCAGCTCCTCGGGCGCCTCCATCACCGCGGAGGAGGCGAGCACCTTCACCGCCGCCCGGCGCCTGGCCCGCGCCGCCGCGCCGGCCGGCGGCGCGGCGCGGAATGACACGCGGGCGGGGGTCGAGGCGGATGCGGGGCTCCGGCAGCAGCGGCGGTGGAGGGAGGGAGGGGCCGCTAGAGAGGAGATGGTGGTCGCCATTGGAGCTGGAGCGCCTGGAGAGAGCACGGGTGTGGGGAGGAATGGGGTGGCGAAGCGAGGAGGGAGGAGGCAAGAACGTTATCCGGATTCCGGTGTGGTTTTTGTTGGGCCGCTGTGCTCGTGTCGCAGGACGTGCTCTGCTCTCACGGTGCTTCCTCGCTCAAAAGAAAATAAATTGCTCACGGTGCTTCCAGCCAGAAAACAGCCCCCTTAAAAATCATGTTTTTCTTAAACAAACAGTCATTGGGTATGTACGTACAATATCACAAAATTCATGTCAAGACTGCATCCGCAGCTGAAAAGGAGCAAATCTAAGTTTGAATATTAACGTGTGATTTCAGGCACTACACCGCACGAGCGGTTAGCTATCTAAAAAAGATGATTTCACACGCCACCATTCTTTTTTGTCTTGGGCACTCTGATTTTTATCCTTTTGCTCATAGGCATGTAAACCTAGGTTGAATTTTGAATTTTGTGGTTTACTAGTATTATTGTAATGACCTTTTTAGAATAAAAAATTATGAATCATGTCTTTTTTATCTAGAATACATGTCAGTGTACAAACCCGCATTAAAGCCGATATGGTGATGCGCATAACCTAAAGTACTCGAATAAAATGCACATAAAGTTTTTACCCAGATTCGGGCCCTCTTTTCTGAAGGTAATATGTTACGCATGCTTTTAGTTTTGATTGATGGTATGGATGTCTTTGTATGAAGAGGTTACAATGGAGTATCATAGGATGTATCGAGATAGTGAATCTATAATTTGGTGTGTCTACACTAGCCGTGGTCCCACCTTATGAAGGGAGACGAGGCCTGGGGTTTACATGTGTCCTAGTCGGTTAAGACTGTCTAGATCTTGGGCCTCACCTTGTACGCCAAGCTGGTGGGGCCTTCTAGAGTAGGCCTACCAGCTGAGTGAGGAGACCTGGCCATGCAGTGGCCTGCTAGGCCCCGAGGGCGACCTGGTGGGTCAACTTCTCATCTGATGTTACACCCATGGTATGTTGTACCATCAGTAGCCCCGAGATGGCCAAGAGTTCAGTTGTATTCGGCTTGAGGAAAATCATGCGCTTCATCTTGAATTGGTTGGAGTCATCTTTGACGGGCTCCCTTGGGTTTCTGAAAGTCACATAAAGTTGAGTGTCGGTGAAAGATCATTTATCTCTAGATGGTATTTTAGTGTGATGACAATATGGTTAGTGTAACTAATGACGGTTGCTAAGATTTATCTCAGGTCATTGGTTCCTTGGATGTTTATTAAGGACATGGTTGACCCCCACTTCAAAAAGATCAAAGGCATGGTTTTTCGACATCTCAAAACTTATGTTTCAATTTTATTTGAGTCGTAGGACAACCACGCTATCAAGAGGGGGAAGCTCGTTGAATGATAGTGTGGGAACACCCAAAACCCATACACTAACCTTTCTACACCTACCACCAAAAAGGAGCCCTCTATCATTCAAGTCATTGTCCTCATTGTGCCTAAGGGGTGTGCCAAAATCTTCTGGTCACCCCGTGCGCATAGGCTAGTGGGCAGCCCTCTGGACCCTCATGCACATGGGGTAGTGCGCAACCCTTTGGACACCCTGTTCGCATGAGGTCTTTGACCCTCATGCCCACGGGGTAGTGGCTTAGCCACTGGACACTAATGAGTGTTATTTTTACGCACTTCACATGGTTGTTTAAATCAGATAATCTCAAAATTTATGAGAAAATCACTTTGATATTGCTACCAGTGACTAATGAATGTGAGAGATCATGAAATCCCTTGTTTAGCGTGTTTTTGCGGGGGGAAATGGCCCAAACATGAAAGAATATCATCATATGGAAGGAAAAATGAAGTTTGGTGAAAGAGGCAAATCATCAGGAGGCACGAGGATCAATCTAGATCGCAAGACGATACATGGTATGTGCACGCCCCGCTCGTACTGCCACTCGTACCACTCGTCATCAACACCAGGTCGTCCACCTAACCAACTTTCTATAAGTGGGTCAACGCCAACATCTCAATATAGAGCACCATTAGCAAAGTGGAGAACCAGGACCCATCTTCCAACCCTAGCCGCCACCATTTCCCATCTCGCCTCCATAGCCGCCGCCATCATCCGCACCGCAACCATTCTCTCCACTTGTAATGGATGTATCACATCCGACAACTATTGTAAGACATATTATCAATCAATAATTCATCTTTATGTCATCTTCAATGAGTTCATCTTGCGATCCGATTGTCGTATGTGAGTAATTTAGCAAGGCAATGGGTTGTGGCAAGGCTTTGCAACTTTGTGTATCTGTGCACTGGATCATTGGAACGACTTCGTGTATTTGACATTATTTGCATGCGTCTGATTGCAACAGAGTTGTCTCTTGTCTTGTTCTCGTTCTAAGGCCCTGCAGTTACCCAAGATCCCATAGATCGATCAAGAAGAAGGTAAGCAGTGAAGAGGTTGTGGAACGCTATCCTAAACAACAATGGGAGAAAGGGTTAGTACGGTAGTAGAAAGAAATTTCTTAGGGACGAATGAGGTGTAGTCATTAACACCCAATGCTTTTGTTCGACTATTTATTCTTAATAACTGAGGTAACCACGCGTGACGATAAGGGCCATGGGTTGGACAACTGACTTTTGATGCAGACCATGCACTGGTCAAGACGTATTTGGGACACATCCCCCACTTCATCGCGTAGCAAGCACATCATAGCGATTTGTCTTTCAAGATGATATCCCAGGCCCAAATGTAAGGTTGTGAGAGTAAGACCTCATACCCATCCATATTTTCATATCAGTGCTTATACTCAAAAAGGTTGTTAAAGGTCTGGTTAAAACACTGAAATTTAGTTCGATGAACAATAACTTGTCAAACTCTTTGTCGTAATGCACATTCTCTCGTGGGTTCGGTAACCCAGAATCACTCCTTAGGGAAAGGCAAGGGAACTTTCTACTATCCAAACCGGATCTCAACACTTTATTTGAACTTTGATTTTGTGTATGACATTTTTCATTTTATAGGCCACCACTACAAATAGAGTTGAAATACCCTTCCCAATCTTTTAGAACTTTGGCAACAAAAATTTGGCGCCACGATGACAACTTATGTGGAATGTCTTTTCGGCCACATAGATAGATATAATGGACACTTGTGGGATGGATTTGGTTCAAGATATGGATGCAGAAGCAATATTCCCGCTTAGTACAAATAGGTTTTGGCTAGAAAGGCTCTAAGAAACACACTTGTCCGAGGGCCATGAGTAATGATTTTTATCATGTGACCTATTCACCTCGTCTAGACTATACTAATCGATGTTGCAACCACCAAGCGTCCGTCGAGCGCAATCAACATATTCCACCATGGCGTATCGCCCTTCCATGTCAAGTGTGACATCCTGGCTTATTAGGAATGATAGATTACTCATATCAACAAGGCGCATCTTATTTTTCATAAGCCATCTCCAATGAACCTCCAAGTTAAGTATTTAGGGATGGGTGACCGATCAAGAAGTTCTTTCGGGTGCGCACAAGTGAGGATAAAGTGCGCATGAAAGACTAGTGTTGGTTTGTGGGGCCAGTCTGGACTCCGCCAGGCGTAGTGGATGGGAACCGATGGGTGTTGGGGAACGTAGCAATAATTCAAAAATTTCCTACGTGTCACCAAGATCAATTTAAGAGATACTAGAAACGAGAGAGAGGGAGTGCATCTTCGTACCCTTGAAGATCGCTAAGCGGAAGCGTTGCAAGAACGCAGTTGGTGGTGTCGTATACGTAGCGATTCAGATCACGGTCGATTTCGATCTAAGCGCCGAACAACGGCGCCTCCGCGTTCAACACACGTACAGCCCGAGTACGTCTCCTCCTTCTTGATCCAGCAAGGGGAGAGGAGAAGTTGAGGGAGAACTCCAGCAGCACGACGGCATGGTGGCGATGGAGCTCGTGGTTCTCTAGTAGACCTTCGCTAAGCACTACGGAGGAGGAGGAGGAGTTGGAGGAGGAGAGGGTTGCACCAGGGGATGGGGTGCGGCTGCCCTCTCTCTCCCTCACTATATATAGGGGGAAGGAGTGGAGGAGGCGCCCTAGGGTTCCCTAGGAGAGGGGCGGCAGCCACAGGGGAAACCTTAGATGGGTTTGGGCGCCCCCACCCCTAGGAAACTTGCCCCCCAAGCCAGGAGGGGTGGCTGCCCTAGGGGAGGCGCTCCCACCTCTCCAGGTTACGTGAGATGGGGTGGGAGGGGCGCTCAGCCCCTTAGTGGGCTGATGTGCCCCCTCCCCTTGGCCCATAAGGCCCCCAACGCTTGTCGGGGCCTCCGAAACCCCTTTCGAACACGTTGGTCGTCACCCGGTACCCCAGGAACAATTCTGGACTCCAATACCCTTCGTCCAATATATCGATCTTCACCTCTGGACCATTCCGGAGTTCCTCGTCACGTCCGGGATCTCATCCGGGACTCCGAAAAACCTTCGGTAACCACATACTATTTCCTATTACAACTCTAGCGTCATCGAACCTTAAGTGTGTAGATCCTACGGGTTCGGGAACCATGCAGACATGACCGAGACACCTCTCCGGCCAATAACCAACAACGGGATTTGGATACCCATGTTGGCTCCCACATGTTCCATGATGATCTCATCGGATGAACCACAATGTCGAGGATTCAATCAATCCCGTATGCAATTCCCTTTGCCTATCGGTATGTTACTTGCCCGAGATTCGATCGTCGGTATCCCCATACCTCGTTCAATCTCGTTACCGGCAAGTCTCTTTACTCGTTCCGTAACGCATGATCCCGTGACCAACTCCTTAGTCACATTGAGCTCATTATGATGATGCATTACCGAGTGGGCCCAGAGATACCTCTCCATCATACGGAGTGACAAATTCCAGTCTCGATTCGTGCCAACCCAACAGACACTTCCAGAGATACTTGTAGTGCACCTTTATAGCCACCCAGTTACGTTGTGACGTTTGGTACACCCAAAGCATTCCTACGGTATCCGGG